TGTAAAATGGTTTATTTCTCTCTTTTACTCTGCAAAGGGAACGTGCATTTATTTCTCTCCTTTTCCTCTGCAAGGAGATGATTCATTTCTTTCTTTTTTTTTTCTCTGCAAATAGAAAGTTTAATTTTCTCATTTTCCTCTGCAAGGCGAAGGTTCATTTCTTTCCCTCTGCAAAGAGAAGTTTGTTTTTTTTTTATTTCCTCCTCTTCCGATGCAAAGTGGTTTATTTGTCTCCTTTTTCTCTGCAAGGTTTATTTATTTCATTTTCCTCTGCAAGGAGAAGGTTTATTTATTTCATTTTCCTCCACAAATAGAAGGTGCATTTTCTCTTTATTTCTTTGCAAAGAGAAGGTTCATTTCTCTCTTTTTCCTCTTGAAAGGGGAGGTTTCCTTATTTCCTCCTTTTCCTCTGCAAAGAGACTTTTTTTCTTCCTTTTTCCCCTGCAAAGAGAAGATTTATTTCYCTCCTTCTCCYCTGCAAAGGTTCATTTCTCTGCTTTTCCTCTGCAAAGGGAAGGTTTATTTTCCTCCGAAAAGAGATTTATTTATTTCCTCCTTTTCCTCTGCCAGGAGAGGGCTTTTTTCCTCTCCTTTTCCTCTGCGAAATGATTCATTTCTCTCCTTTTCCTCTAAAAAGAGGAAGTTAATTTCTCTTATTTTCTTCTCCAAAGGGAAGCTTTATTTATTTCCTTTTCCTCTGCAAAGAGAAGGCTCATTTCTCTCCTCTTCATCTGCAAGAAGATTCCTTTCTCACCTTTTGTTCTGCAAGGAAGTTTATTTATTTCCTTCTTTTCCTCTGCAAGGAAGTTTATTTCTCTGCTTTTCCTCTGCAAGTTTCATTTATTTCCTTTTCCTCTGCAAAATTCATTTATTTCTTTTTTTTTTCTCTGCAAAGTTCATTTATTTCCTTTTTCTCTTCCAGAAGGTTCATTTATTTCCTTTTTCTCTGCAAAGTGGGATTATTTCTCTCCTTTTCCTCTACCAAGAGGTTTCTTTCTCCCCTTTTCCTTTACAAAGAGGTTCATTTCTCTCCTTTTTCTCTCCAAAGGGAAGGTTCATTTCCTTTTTTTTTTTATTATTTTTTCATTATTTCCTTTTCCTCTGCAAGGAGAAAGTTCATTTCTCTCCTTTTCCCTTACAAGGAGAAGGTTTCTTTATCTCCTCATGCACCAGAAATGCTCCAGGTGTGGGTTCCAGGAGGGAATCCCAGGAAAGGGGGAGAGGGCAGCCCTGTATCCTCAATTCCCAACTGGAATTTTTTCAGTGATGAAAAAAGGACGGAATTCCAGGAAAGGGGGGGAAGGCAGCCCCAATTTCCACCTGGAATCTTTTCAGTGATGAAAAAAGGGAGGGAATTCCAGGAAAGGAGGAGGGGGCAGCCCCGTATCCCCAATTTCCAWCTGGAATTGTTTCAGTGATGAAAAGGGGACAGGGGCAAACCAAACTGGATTTTTTTACTCCTCTGTGCTTCTCCCGGAGCCTGGCACGGCCGGGGCCGGGTGAAGGAGCTGGGGGTCATTGGGGGTCACTCGTGGCTCTCCCCCCGGCTCTGTCCCAGATTTGGGTGCTCTGGGTGCCAGCAGCGGCCCCGCTGGCCCTGGGACATGAGGTGACCCATTTCTGTCACCGCCCCGGAGCGCTGG